ACAAAAGGAAAATGTATTTTACATTTGAAATAACAAATCAAAAAAGTATTTGCATTTTGTATTTAAATACTTTTAAAAAAACATTTTGTACATCTTTAATGTAGACGTTCTGCCAGCAACCGCTCTAGTCTAGTTAGTAAGTTGAAAGAAGAAACTAAATATGACAGTTTTATTGCGGATTATGCCTATTTTAAACGTCTCAACTATAGTAGAAATATTGTAAAACACTGACGATTACTTTTAGTACGAACCAGAAAAAATAATTGATATAATTAGCAACTGGCAAATCGCTGAAACGACAAACATGACTAATTTAACCGGATCCGTATCTTTAACAACACCTTTTTACGGATACAGAAAAGGCATTCTTATTAGTAAAATACACATGACGAATGACAGAAATATACGTGGAGTAGCTGAACTGAGTCTGGATCACAAAAAATTTACGGCTAGCGTTAAAGGTAAAATGGAATTATTAAAAAAATATAAATAAGTAATAACATACGAAATTTTAGGGCACCTGCAAAAAATAACGAATAGTATGATTAATTTTAATATTACAACCCCTAATGAAAAATATAAGGAACTACGAGGACAATTAGGGTTCTTAGAAGAAGATAAATATTTAGTTGCACTCGTTCAATATCCTGCAAGAAGTGTTGGAATCGAAGTTCGCTTTTCTTTAATAGCTATAACAACTTTTGATGTCAAATTCTATCTTGCTACTCCCATAGAATTTTTGATGGAAGTACTACTGGTAGCGAAATTAAAACCAGAAACAGTAAGCTTATCAAATGTATTTAAACATAACTCCTAGTGACTAAATTACGATAAAAAAACTGGACTGATTCACAATTTATTAAAAAAAAAAACTCTATCCTAGACATTTCGTATTCGTTTAGGCATCTTCAGCCTTCAGGAGGATTACAGCATACGCAAAGTTTATTGCAAATAATATAAACTTTCTTAAATATAAAAGGACAAACAAATACGAGGGTGGATTGATAAGTTTCCGGCCTAACCAAGAGATGACGCCACTAGGCCTACCTTGAGGTGACATTCTATAGTACCATCCTTGGATAGCTTGTAGCTATAGTTTCAGCCCGATCTCCTTGCTAGTGTAGGTTTGACAGCACGCTGAACAAGACGCCTCTGTGGTTTTCGTAAAAATGGAAAAGCAGGAAAATCGTGCTGTCATCAAATACTTTTATTTGAAGGGGTTAACGCCGAAGGAAATTAAAAAAGAGATGGACTCAACACTGGGGACATCCTCCCCGTCATATTCAACCGTTAAGCAGTGGGTTTCCGAGTTTAAAAAGGGTCGTGTGAGCACCTCTGATGGGCCTCGCTCAGGACGCCCCGTTGAGGTCACAACTCCAGATATGATCGAAAAAATTCATCAAATAGTGCTGGGAGACCGCAGATTGAAAGTGCGTGAGATAGCTGAGACCTGTAAGATGTCATATGAACGTGTGCAACATATTTTGCACCAACATTTGCATATGGAAAAGCTCTGTGCAAGATGGGTGCCGCGTTTGCTAACAGTCGACCAAAAATTGATTCGAAAAAACATTTCTACCGCAAATTTGTCATTGTATAAGCGTAATCCAAGCGAATTTTTGCGTCGATTCGTAACCGTTGACGAAACGTGGGTCCACCACTACACTCCTGAAACCAAAGAACAGTCTAAACAGTGGATTGGACCAGGGGAACCAACTCCAAAGAAGGCAAAAACAATTTTTTCGGCGAACAAGGTTATGGCTACTGTTTTTTGGGATGCAAGAGGTATTATATACATTGATTACCTTGCAAAGGGTAATACTATCACTGGTCAATACTACGCAGACTTATTGCAACGTTTGAGCCACGAGGTGAAAATTAAACGACCTCATCTGGCGAAGAAAAAAATCTTGTTTCATCACGATAACGCACCAGCGCACACGTCAATCGTTGCGACGGCTAAAATCAACGATCTAAAGTTTGAATTGATGCCGCACCCTCCTTACTCTCCAGACCTAGCCCCGAGTGACTATTTTCTGTTCCCTAATCTCAAAAAATGGCTTGGCGGTAAGAGATTTGCGGACAATGAAGAAGTAATCGAAGCTGTAAATGGTTATTTTGAGGAGCTTGACGAATCAGTCTATAGAGATGGCATTAATAGACTGGAACACCGCTATGAGAAATGTATCAGCCTTGGAGGAGATTATGTTGAGAAATAAAAAAAAAAAATTTTTAAAAACCTTGTTTTTCTTGGTCAGGCCGGAAACTTATCAATCCACCCTCGTATATAGAACATAGGGAATTATTTCGAAATCTAGTTGATCATTTGTTAAAACTTTATTTTCTAGGACAGTTTGTAACAAACGATCAACTAGATGTAGGATATAATTCCCTTCTAAACCCTGGATTGTTTTGAGTTGGATCCTATCGTATTTAAGGAAGTTATAATATATTAATTTATGATTTATTATAAGTTTTGCATGTTCCCACTGCGATAAGATTAAACATATGTAGGTACCTAAACATATAAAGCTTTTTTTAGGTAAATACATAAAGTGTGAATCAATCTAAGACTTTTTTGTGTTAGTTTAAACATCCCTAGTCCTTTAATCTTTCAGTCCCTAAGACGATTGACTAGAAGTTATTATTTATTTGATGTATTATTTTATACGTATTCAAATGAGTTATTAATTACTTATAAATCTTTGGATCATGTATTTTTTAGGCGGATTTTCGAGCGGGGTGGAATCAGATGCTGGCGGGTTTTACGGGCAAATGGCACTATCAGAATATCACAGACTTCGATCATTCATACAAAATTTTTACTCCAATCCAAGATTACGAATCAAACGGGGTTGTGGCGAAGCTGATGCTTAAAGAAGGACTGGATACTGAATTTTCAGTTAAGATGGCCCAGTATAGATTGGGTGTGAAGGTAGTGGGACAACAGAAACCAAAATTATTCAAGGAAATGGATATTAAGTTGGAAGACGTTTACAATGTACGAAAATATTACGAACTGTCTGATAGTCTAGAGGACTACGACGAAAATGGCCGGCCACGTTTCCCGGAAGAAATAGAATCAATGAGCTGGGGTGGTTTGGTGGAAATAGATGCTCTTGTTTATCCGACTATGAGAGGAACACTAGACATGGATCAACTTGGAAACGTCTATGCTTTTTCAGGCACTCTCAAACTTCCCGAGGGTCAAGCAACATTAGAAGATCTATTTAGCTTTCAAGTACTACTACACCGTTTTATTTTTAGAAAGCAATTTTTAACTTTTGTATTTTCTTTTTTTCAATTTTAGCGATTACTGAACATGGAAAATCAATTGCACATCATAACTCCTTTCGAATCGTTCAAAGATATGAATTTCGATTTTAAAATTAGCGTAAAACCCACCAGGAAATATTTAGCTTCTTTCGATTTCCGTTATCAAAATCGAACGGACTGGACAAAGGTAAAATAATCATTGCATCAGTGCAAAACATAAAATTATTTAATACTAATACCACTGATAAGGACTTAGTTCTATTTATTTTAAATGCAAATGTACATGCCGAGCGGGCCGATTCGTTTACGAAATCGTCGGACTTGAATACTTGGACCGTTGCACCGCGCATAGCTGGACCGTTGCACCGCGCGTAGCTAGACCGTTGCACCGCGCATAGCCGACTGTTGCACCGCGCGTAGCTGGCCCGTTGCACCGCGCAAGCGACGATCGATCGAATCGCCGTTATGCCGAGCGGGTCGAAATCGTCGGACTCGAACGTTCCGACCGTTGCACCACGCCTAGTCTCCTGCCTACTCTAGGAGCATTTGAATCACTGGAATCGGCATATATGTTTAAATTTTTCGAACGAAATTTGTTCAAACAGTAATTTAATTTAGGCCTACCTCTTATACTTTTAACAATCATTTTCGAAAGTCTAAATCAGCGTTTCTTATTAAACTATTTCACAGATGGAATCCTTGTTAATGTCCACGTTTTGTGTAGTAGCCCTGTTTTTAATATAACATCCTTTACATTGATTATTTGTAATAGCATTAATAACGATTATTTGGAAAATACATTAAAAATTTACTTCTTCGTTACTGACTTCGTTTTTCAAATAACTCCAACATCATCAACTAGGAGTTCAGGAAACCCCAAAATACTACGTTTTTCGTTTAAAGTAACAAAATTAAATTAATTTTTTTTTATGGAGTCGTGAAATGCACACCCTTATATTTTTTTAACAGGCTGGAGCGCTGGCAAAGTACACATTGGAACATCAAGAAGCTAAGGAATTAACCCAGCACAGATTAACGGGTCATGTTCACACGCCGTTTGAAAGGTTTCCATCTTTTGACCTTCTTGCAGCTTTTGATGTTGAAGAAAACGTTTACAGAATTAACGTGAGCGCGGCCACCAACAAGAGTACTATTTGGGGTGAAATAAACACAGAAGTAAATTACTGAAAGTATTATTTATCTAATAATTAATTTCAACAATAATATTTCAGTTTGACGAAGGTTTACTCGAGTTAGAGGGAGGGTTGAGTGTTAGCTCGCCTATTATAAATGTACCCCCTGCGCATTTCTTTTTCAAAAAGGAATCGACGTCAATGGAGAACAGCTTAGATTTTTTGTTCAACACTTCGCTCAACGAAACGCATAAAGTATGTATTGGAAACGTGAAATAGAAATGCGATTATCAAACTAAAAGTATCGTCTGTAGTTTGTTGTAGAAACGATGTTACGTTATCAGAGTTTAATAAACTTTAAAACAGACTTCATGTTACAAATGCCATTTCAAAGTATGGATAAATCACAGATAGGGGCGTATGTCTTAATTACCAACGCAAGTACCGAAGCGGAGTTTCACTTAGAACTATCTCCAGTTTATTTATTAACAAACATCTCACTCAAAGATTCAATTCTTCGCAGTCATGTTCTCTTAAATTTTCACAGAGACAAGTAAGTAATAATTAAAAGAATTCAATCCAATGGATGCACTATAAAACGATAATAAATAATATTTTAGACACAATGCAGTTCTGCTGTGCTTACTGAGAAAAACTTCGTCTTTAACTAAAGACGCTAGAGGACATTTAACTTTAGACGGGAGAATTTATACTGTTAATGGTTTAGTACAGTTGCTGGAGGACGGTGTGCCGACGAAAATTGAAATTCAAATTGAGCCTAGAAGTACAGGAAATCCCTACCTTATCGAATATTTGCATAATCCAAAGCTCCAAGAATATAATTTTTCGGTAAAACGCCATCAGCAAGAAATAATCGCCCTACAAACTTTGATAACAGATAAAAATAAATTTGAAAAAACGATAACTGTACAGGTAATATAAAGAATCCAATTTAACAAAAATTACACACAAGTGTGCAACCATTTTTGTTTAATTTCAGATTGACACAATCCACAAAAAGTACAAAACATTCAAAATTGAAGCCACAACTATTTTAAATTCCGCTAATAGCATACTGGACGTGAAAGCTGAAACACCTTTTCCACAAATTGAAAAACCCGCATTTGGTATTTCTTTCACGTGAGTGTTTATTTAAAGTTTTATTTCGGCAAATGGCGATACTTTTTCGTTAAGTTAAGAGCTTGGTAATGTCTCACAGTTTTAAAACAAACTAAGCATTTGAAATGCATTTGTCTACTTTCTTTTCTTGAAGGCAAACTCAAATTTTTGTGAGTATAAATAAAAACTAGAATACATATTTGATATATGAAATCCTATGACATTGTTAATTACTTAATAGTGGATTAATATGCAATATTAATTTGAAATCATTTTTTCGATTTTTTATTTACCCACTACAAACTACCTCAAATTAATGAGGGAAAAATTGTTGCTGTTGTCACCCCCCCGCCGGGAATCGAACCCGGGACCTTTGGCTTTACTCACCAATGTTCTGACCACTAAACTACGAGAGGTGACGACAGCAACCACGACCAACCGTAGTTTAGTGATAGAACATTGGTGCGTAAAGCCAAAGGTCCGGGTTCGATTTCCGGCGGGGGGGGGGGGGGTGTGACAACAGCAACAATTTTTCCTTCATTACTCTGAGGTAGTTTGTAGTGGGTAAATAAAGAATCGAAAAAATGATTTCAAACTAGAATATTTGGTCGCATTACTGAATGCCCGAACAGACTCTCTCAATTTTCATTTATGCATTTCTCTTGCATACTTCATCCTGAAAATGATAACTGCTGTAGTTGATGAGACTATTGTAACTACAGCGTAGACAAAAAATGCAAATTAATATTACAGTTTCTACCGCGAATGCCTACGCACCGGCATTATGAAATTCCAAATAAATACCATAAATGCAATTTCAGAAAGGATGTACTGGGTTATCGACACATGAATGCACATTTCGAATTTAAAGAATCTAAAGGGAACTTAGATTGCAGCTGGATATGGGTTGTCATGGAGAACATGAGAGTGAAACTAGTTGGAAATATTGAGAGGGGTAACAAAAGTAATGATGCATTTTTGGACGCGTTTTACGTGAATCCCGATAAAAGTGGATCTCTTCAAATTGGAGCTTTAGCTAACATCAATAACATATGGCAGTAAGTGCTTTTTTTTACCATACATCTCAGTAGCGGTTCGTTCCTTGCAATAAAACAGATAAAAAGTTGCAAAAAAACTACTTTCGAATATCACTCAGAATATGTGCTAAGGAATGCATCGATTAAACATAGATATAATAACCACAAACATGAACAATTAACGTAAACGTACAAAGAGAATGCAGGTGCAGTAGACTGGCCAACTCGTCGCGAACTCTTCCCCATTCGAGAACGAATGGAAGCGTTAGGCATACAAATTTTCAGCTGAGGCCATTTAAACCAATAGAAATTGTTGTAAACAAATACGACAATTTTATATACTTTTTCTTCATTTCATCTTCATAAGGTCGTCAGTGGTTGAACACGCACCTCCACTCTTTTTCTATCCTCAGCTAATCTACGCATTTCCCTAAAACTAGAACAACTCACATCGTTAACTATTTGCGAACAGTAATATAACCTAGGTTTATCTCTACCCCTCCCAACTCCTGTTTCTACCTCTAATATGTCTCTAACTAGACCTACATGCCTAAGAAAGTGTCCTACTAACATATCTCGCCTACTTCTTATTGACTCCCAAAGAGTCCTCTGTTTTCCTTTCTAATACCTCTTCATTTATAACCTTCTCTATCCACGGTATCCTCATCGTTTGCCTGTAACACCACATTTCGAAAGCTTCCAATCTTTTCTTTTCTGCCACGCCCACTGTCCATGTTTCGCACCCGTAAAGCGCCGCGCTCCAAAAATACACCTTTAACAACCTTCTTCGAATTTCTAAATTAACCGTTCGTGAGCATAAAAGTGACTTGTTTTTATTGAAGACGACCCGATCCTGCGCCATCCTCTGCTTTATATCCCAACTACTCCTTCCGTCCTGACTTATCTGACTTCCTAGATACCTAAAATCGGTCACTTCTTCTAATTGTTCATCTCTTATCTTTATATTCGCTCTTTCCCTATATTTCCTTCCCTTACATATCAGTATTTTTGTTTTACTTTTAGTTATTTTCATACAATACTGTTTTGTCAGTACCACATCCATTTTATTTAAAGCCCTCCTTGCTAGATGCTAATACTGTTATATCATCTGCAAATCTAAGTAATTAGTATGCTTAGATTAGTACTTTTTCCCTTGTATATCTATCACTACAGTTGCACTGTTTTTATTGATGTTGATTGCGTCTTCGATGTATAGATTAAAAAGTAGCGGTGACAGTATGCATCCCTGTCTGACTCCGTTCCTAATATTTACTTCTCTACGTTGCAGCCCCAGCTCTATAACTGCCTGTTGCTTTTTATACAAAGTATGTATCACTCTTCTATCTCTGTAACTCATCCCTACATTTTTAAGTATATTTAACATCTTGTTCCATTTAACATTGCTAAAAGCTTTTTCTAAATCTACTAATCCAAATACGAGGGTGGATTGATAAGTTTCCGGCCTAACCAAGAGATGACGCCACTAGGCCTACCTTGAGGTGACATTCTATAGTACCATCCTTGGATAGCTTGTAGCTATAGTTTCAGCCCGATCTCCTTGCTAGTGTAGGTTTGACAGCACGCTGAACAAGACGCCTCTGTGGTTTTCGTAAAAATGGAAAAGCAGGAAAATCGTGCTGTCATCAAATACTTTTATTTGAAGGGGTTAACGCCGAAGGAAATTAAAAAAGAGATGGACTCAACACTGGGGACATCCTCCCCGTCATATTCAACCGTTAAGCAGTGGGTTTCCGAGTTTAAAAAGGGTCGTGTGAGCACCTCTGATGGGCCTCGCTCAGGACGCCCCGTTGAGGTCACAACTCCAGATATGATCGAAAAAATTCATCAAATAGTGCTGGGAGACCGCAGATTGAAAGTGCGTGAGATAGCTGAGACCTGTAAGATGTCATATGAACGTGTGCAACATATTTTGCACCAACATTTGCATATGGAAAAGCTCTGTGCAAGATGGGTGCCGCGTTTGCTAACAGTCGACCAAAAATTGATTCGAAAAAACATTTCTACCGCAAATTTGTCATTGTATAAGCGTAATCCAAGCGAATTTTTGCGTCGATTCGTAACCGTTGACGAAACGTGGGTCCACCACTACACTCCTGAAACCAAAGAACAGTCTAAACAGTGGATTGGACCAGGGGAACCAACTCCAAAGAAGGCAAAAACAATTTTTTCGGCGAACAAGGTTATGGCTACTGTTTTTTGGGATGCAAGAGGTATTATATACATTGATTACCTTGCAAAGGGTAATACTATCACTGGTCAATACTACGCAGACTTATTGCAACGTTTGAGCCACGAGGTGAAAATTAAACGACCTCATCTGGCGAAGAAAAAAATCTTGTTTCATCACGATAACGCACCAGCGCACACGTCAATCGTTGCGACGGCTAAAATCAACGATCTAAAGTTTGAATTGATGCCGCACCCTCCTTACTCTCCAGACCTAGCCCCGAGTGACTATTTTCTGTTCCCTAATCTCAAAAAATGGCTTGGCGGTAAGAGATTTGCGGACAATGAAGAAGTAATCGAAGCTGTAAATGGTTATTTTGAGGAGCTTGACGAATCAGTCTATAGAGATGGCATTAATAGACTGGAACACCGCTATGAGAAATGTATCAGCCTTGGAGGAGATTATGTTGAGAAATAAAAAAAAAAAATTTTTAAAAACCTTGTTTTTCTTGGTCAGGCCGGAAACTTATCAATCCACCCTCGTATGTACGCGCTCTTTCCTTTTTCTACCGTTTTCTGTATTGTTATTCGTAAAGCTAGAATTGCCTCGCGCGTTTCTCTATTTCTATATTATAAACCAAATTGATCTTCCCCTAATAGTTCTTCCGCCCTTTTTTTCCATCCTCCTCTGTACAATTCTAGTTAAGATTTACCTAACCTAACCTAACCTTGTCCTGCTTGTTTTAGAATTTCCCCCTGTATCCCATATACGCCTAGCGCCTTATTCTTTAAGTTTTTTAATGCTACATCGAACTCTTCTCTCATTATAGCTCGTCCATTACACTATCTTTCTTCTCTAATATATCTCCTAACTCATGTCCTGCGTATAGGTTCTCATTTATTAAAAATAATATCTATTTTGTGTTTGTGAGATAAATAAATCGCGATACTACTTAGAAAATAGATAGAAAGACACTTTTTACTAACCGATGCATTTCCTTTCCTTACATTTACCTGTTATGTTCTTTGATGCAGAACATTCACAAATTTAACGTTACGTGCACTCTCAAAGAAGAAATTGGATTTCTCGGCTTATTTAAAACTGCCACCGCCACAAATTGATACGCATTCCTTGATTGCTGGGTACGACAGTGCATTTGAAGCAGGAAATTTTCAATACCACGGAAATTATAAAACCACGTACACAAATAAAAATTACGGAAGCACTGGAACGGTAAACAAACTTAACAGCGAAAGACGATAGGAAAATGAAAAGAAAAACTATTAAACGATCTCTTTCAGATTTCCTACGGAGATAAAAGTAAAATAAACGGGATGGTGGATGTTGAATGGGAGAAGAAACGTATCAAAAATCACTTGGCTATGGGCCTAAATGATGACGCTATGGACTTTCATTATAAACTTTACAGCCCTTATTATGATAATGAAGAAACGGTTATCACAAACTTCACTTACAGGGGATTAAGTGGTTATCACAATCTTTCGTAAGTGACTAATTAAATAGTGTATTTAACTTTCGTCGATTCTTACGTTACATTTTAGATTTTATGCATTTTCCCCTGCAAGTCGTCAAGTGGGTAAAGCTTTGGTTGATTTTAAAAGCATGAAAAACATGAACGGCACCCTTAATGTGACATCGCCATTTAAAGGACTGACGCATATAGGCAGTCGCTTCAATTTCCAATCTTCCAGGTATGCAATATAAAATATATGCCGTTTGTACATAAAACAACGATTCTCATTCCCTCAGGGAGATACTATAAAATACTTGGGGGGTAAAATAATTAAGTATGTTTTTACGCATAAAAAACTATTTTCAGTATTCAGTTTTATTATTTTAAATGCAATATCCTATATTTAGTCCGACGAATGTACATACCGAGCGAGCCTGATCGTTCACGAAATCGTCGGACTCGGACTTTCCAACCGTTGCACCGCGCGAAATTCCGACCGTTGCACCGCGCAAACGACGGTCGATCGAATCGGCATACCTGCCGAGCGGATCGAAATCGTCGGACTCGATCATTCCAAACGTTGCACCGCGCACGGCCGTGTGGTGCCGAGACCATCATCTCAAGTCTATTGTAGGAGCATTTGCGAGCTTGCCGCGCTGTACGCTGTTCCGATCGGTCACTGAACGGCTCGCTCGCCGAAATCGCCGCACTTGACGTTTTCTGAATAAAATTTTTACAGCTAACTGTAAATAGTAATTTAATTTAGGTCTAATTCTACTCCTTTTTGTTTTGCTTCTATTATGTCCTTAACTACCTCTCAGGGAGGTCCTAAAAAATATTTGGGGAATGCAGAAAAATTGATTAAAGGACAATTAAAACATAAGATTTTGATATATTTGAATTAAAAATTCGAAAAATACTAATTTAGCTTGTTTGGTACTGGTGCACACTAAGGATAATTATTTTCGATCCTTTACTCATCACTGCCTCCCAAGAGGATCTTGCAGAGAAATTAATTTTTACAAAAAAATTATCAAACTAATTAAAAATCTTCATTCTACATTTATTATGAAAGAGTTAAAATGAATTGTTTGTTTTTATTGTTTGTATATTGTATTATTTATTGTTTTAATTTATTATATTTCTTGTTATCAGCAAAGTATATAACCGATATTTGGAAGTATTTTGGCCCAAAAACAAAGCCTTTATAGATTCAAAATGCAACATCGAGAAAAGTGTTTCACCATCTGCTAATCACGCAAACGGTGTAATTTTGGTGGTGGTGCCGTTGTCCACAAAGCACGTTGGAAGGGTTGATTATTCATACAAAGTAACATTATGAGATTTATACTTTTATAATTGTCCTTATTAAAATATTATTTAATAATTATCAGGAAATGGCTAAAATTAGTAGTGGTACTGCAACTGTCATTTACAACAACAGCAAAATTATTGATGGAAAATACAATTGTGTTTCTCAATCAAAAAATAATATAGACAAAGACAGGATCAATATTGAGCTAAAGAATAAATGGTTACCTTTGGGCCTTATATTTGTCAGGGGTTACCAAACTTTTAACGACAAATTGACGAAGGAGTCTAATCGTATAGATAAGGTGCGCAAATATAAATTTTTGTTGATAACGATTTTCTGAGGAAAATTTCTTTGATTTTTCAGAATTCTAAACGCATCGAAATTTATCATCTCTATAATAAAACCGGGTTCAACGTAACAGGAGATTTAGTAGTTCTTAATACCGAAACTGGCCAAAATATATCCATAATGGCAATCAATTTAAATCGTACCGTGAAGTTTTGGACAGATTACGACATAAGGGATCAAAAACTTAAGCAACGCTCTAAACTTGAATTAGAACCGACCGTTTGGATTGGATACGATTTGCTCATTGAAAACAAAACACGAGTAAACAATTATTTGTATTTGTATTTGTTATATCGACCTGTAATAAATTTGTGAAAACATTCAGCATAAATAAACCAACAGGTAATAGGTTACTCAATATTAAAAATTATTCTAGGATGAAACCGAAGAAGCCAAAAAAATCGAATTGAACCTTTCATATCCTTTAAGAAACTTTACGGCTTTCTTAGAATATAATCTCACAAATAACAATTTCATTTCTGAAACGTCATTGCGATGGGAAAACAAAACCAGAAACCTTGAAGCAGCTGTCAAATGGGAAAGGAACAAAAATGACCATCCGAAACGGCACACATTCGAATTAGAACTTCGACATCCATCTTTGGAAAAGGTACTTACGAATAAATATATTTACTAAAACAATTCGAAGTGGTCTATATTCTGTCGAAACTGCCAGACGCGGATAGCGATTTCGATCTACTTGGATCTCATCAGCGCGTCGCAGGCAGCTCCGACAGAACACAGACCAACTTTTACCTGCTGTCTTAACAGAGCATACGTAATCCTAAAATGTAGCATCGTCCTACAGATGGCGTTTACTGCGCCATTTGTAGTTTTTTCTAAAATATATTTACATTAGTATAATTTTTAAAATATAAAGGACTATACGTGTTTTATATAGTTTTTAATCATTTTACAATTTGCGCACCACCACAACCTCCACAAAGTCTTTGTTTACAGAATGTTTCCATAATTGGAGACTTCCGTTCATCTTCAAGAAAACTCCTGGAAATAGACATAGCAGCGACGTATTCCCTAGACAACTCCCACGATCTGAAGTTTGGCCATTTACTCGAACGAAATTTCGATCCGAAAATAATAAATTATACGTACAAAATATGGAGCAACCACCCTGCTACGAATTTACACTTAAATGCCAACGGAGATTTACTTTGGAAGCCACGATGGTATCATACGTCGCATTTTGCTACCTACGAGAGAACATATTTACCCCTACAGACCGCCGAAACATTCGCAACCTTCGACTGGGACGGAAAAGAAATCGAATTAAAAGTATATATAATAATGTTTATCCATCAGTGAATTAAAAAACGCCAAAAAAATACGTGAAATACTGTAAAGTCGATCGGTTTAACGTTTTAAAATTAAAAACTAGGGTTATGCAAAATTTAATCCGATATATACTAAGTGCTTTAAAAGAAATAGGCGAATTAAAATGACAGAAAAATCGTTTTTGTATTGTAATCTAATCGTAGATATCTATCTCTTCTTATAATACAAGTCTAATCGAAGGACAGAACTAACTAACGCGCTAACTTTAGATATCCAGGATGTTATCCTTTAATCAGAATTTTTCATTAAATTTTGACGTATTCGAGTAGGCCGAGGGGCCTGATCAACGTTTTTCTTTTTAATTACAAAGGCCACGTTGATAAAAATATTTTTAGGGCGCTTATTATGACAGAGGTAGACACCGTGATACACATTCTGACAGTGACAATAATTTTTAGAGAAAAACATTAAGAGAACTGCTCTACTTTTGGGGGAAATACGTGGGAGGATTTCCGGTTTACACAGCAAATTTAACAGCCTTGCACGGTGAAGATGTCAACTCCAACGGTACTTTCTATCTCGACTTCAGAGAAAAAGTAATCGAAATCGTATTGAATTTAACAGAAGGTAAATATTTAATTGGTTTATGTAATACGAAAGTGCAAAAAAACGATTTTCTTTGTTAGACGGAAGCCAGTGTCTGCGAGGGTACGGTTACATACCGGATGCAAGAAGTGCTGTTTTTGATATTTGGCGTGAATACGAAGACATCTCCGTTTCAGATGTAGCATATTACCTAAGACTGAACCATTCTCGACTAATAGTATCCAGCTTGCAATGGAGACCCGAATTGAAGCAGGACATCAAGGTGAGAAAAGAAACTGTTACTTTAAACTTGAAGAAGTCGAGATATTGTCGGCGAATCGTTGCTTAATCAATTATTTAAGATCAATTCCCGTAATAAAAAACCAGAATTAAAAGTTTTTTATTTTTCAAAAACAACTGCTGTTTAGGTTTGATGCATGCATAAAGTACAGATATACTATATTTGATGTTATATATTTCGTTTGTAACTTAGAAGTAAGGACCATTAGTATATTTCAGAAAATACTACAAACGGCACAGTGAACGCCATCTGTAGCACGATGCTACATTTTAGGATTACGTACAGACCACTTCGAATTATTTTATTCGATTAAGCTAACGTTGTATCACGTTGAGGTTGGCTACGCCAGGATTCGTTTTCAGCAAGTAGATATCCACACAAGTGGACCGATTGAAAAATACGTAATCCTAAAATGTAGCATCGTGCTACAGATGGCGTTCACTGTGCCGTTTGTAGTATTTTCTGAAACGCACTGTTAAGACAGCAGGTAAAAGTTGGTCTGTGTTCNTTATCTGTCGTTTACCAGAAGAAGACACCCTAATGCAAAACAACTGCATTCATAAATAATTTCGGTAAATGTCTAGATGATGCCCCCCACCCCCGAAGGAGGAAGAAAGAAAGAGGTCTCTCCCACTATAATTCAAATAAAATTCAATAAAAAAAAATTTCAAGCGGGTGGAGGTGGGGGATCGAACGAGGGTGGTCATTTGAACAAAACCCGATAACCTAACCTACCCTATTGATAAAGACATTTATATAATGTTTTATATAACTTTCTCAATATTTTTATGTATTTTTCATTAGTTTTACCTTTGAATATTGTTTAAGAATGTCTATATACATATTTACATGCCTAAAAATGTATAAAAATTGGCATATTTATTAACTTTAAACCCCTATAACTTTTTATGGGGGTGAAACCGCCACGAACTTTTTATGGTACAGTGGTTGGGGAGACCTCCTCTTTCGATCCCCCACCCATAATCTAGACCTTTACCTTTTCTTTTAATCCTTTAATACTATTTATTCATCTACCAAATTGTACCTATTACTATTTGTTATTAATAAAGTTGTCGAAGACAATTTTAAGATGCTATAAGATTATATGTATAAGTCGTATTATGCTAACAAATTTTACATACGTGACGTCGTCAAATTTACTATTTATACTGTATGTATTATCTTAAATGCAACATCCCTTATTTAGTCCGACGAATGTACAAGCCAAGGCCTGTTCGTCGACAAAATTGTTGGACTCAACGTTCGAACCGTTGCACCGCGCGAAATCCCGACTATTGCACCGCGCAAACGACGATCGGTCGAATCGCCGTATATGCCGAGCGGGTCGAATCGTCGGAATCGAACTTTTCAATCGTTGCACCGCGCATAGCCGGACCGATGCACCGCGCATAGCCGGACCGATGCACCGCGCGTATAAACGCAGGAACATTTGCGTGTTTGCCGAGATGTACGTTGTTCCGATCGGTCACTGAACGACTCGCCTGCTGAAATCGCCGTACTTAAAATTTTCTAAACAAAATTTGTTCAACTAACTGCAAACAGTTACTTAATTTGTATCTAGGTACTTCTACTCCTCTTTGTTTCTGCTTTTATTATGTCTCTGACTACCCCTCATCAAGATCCTAAATAATACTTGGAGGATGAAAAAAAAAATTAGTTACAGGTCATTTAAAATGTAAGAAATTGATTGATAAAATGCCAACAATGATAATTTAACTTGCATGATGTACACAAACAGGGCAATCATTTTCGATATATTTTTCAATATTTAAAAATCTTGATGTGCTAAGACATTTATGAGTCCAGACTAATTCTTACAAAAAAGCCTCCCGTGACAAATTTATGATAAATTTAATGTATTTAATAATAAAATCAATGTTCTTTAAACCTTTAGTACTATTAATCTGTTAAATTGTACCTATCAATATTTGTTTTTAATAAATATGTTTGATGATTTTCAGAGAGCTTAAAGTAGTCGAAGACGATTTCAAAAAGCTACAAGATTATATGAATAAGTCGTATTATGCCAACGAATTTTACATTCGAGACGTCGTCAGATTTGCTGTTTACGCCGTAGATGAATTATCTATCAGATCCCATTTAGAATCTCTGCCAGCTTTTGTCAGTGAAATCTGGGAAATAATGGGAGAGTCGGGAAAAAAGATACAGAAAGGAATACATTGGGTTATCGAAAGGGTGAAGCTTTCAACAATATTTGTTTTTACCTCTTAGTAACGCTTCGCTTTTTTCTTTCTTCTTGTTGCAGATAAAATACTATTATAAAAGCACAGCCGACTTCTTCAATGGACTACTTCAAGGCGATTCGGCTCAACATTTATCGGAGGCGTTAAAGAAACTCGTGGAGAAATACGACAATTTCATAAAGGATATGCATGTTACTTTCATAAGGTATATGGAAAACCTTTGGAACAAGACATACGCCATCCTTCTCGATAATTGGCACAAAACTTTGGCCGCGATTGAACCAACATTCATACAAATTGTCCATTACCTTGAAACAATGGTATGGAATGCCAGTAAAGAATTTTTAGGTAAGTAAATACTGCAACGGTACGACCTCCAGGCATAACGTAAGTCGAACTACCCACAAACTTACAATTTACGATAAACTTTTTCACCCGGCTATTTAATAGGGTTTGATACCGAAATGAGAAACTCGGGTGTTACTTTGCGAATGCACATAGGTCGGGTTAACGTAAGTCGAGAGGTATTTATTTTACGAATACGTAAATTGGACTATTATAGTACAAATCCATGTAAATTGGAATATTTCTGTGGGAATTCACGTAAGTCGGGAGGTACTTATTGTACAAGTACGTAAATCGGATTATTATAGTAGAAATACATATAAATTAGAATATTATTATGCGAATCCACGTAACTCGGGTTAACGTAAGTTGCGACTCGGGAGGTACTTATTATACAAATACGTAAATCGAATTATTACGGTACAAATTCATATAAATTGGGATATTACTATTGGTATCCGTCAAATGGGAGGAGCCTAAAAACATGGCGCCGATTAGGGAAAATTTATCGTAGTTCCTATAGTGTACCGTGCAATTTTCAAGTTTTTAAATTACGATAAAATGATAAGTATTGACACAATACGTGATTGGGCTCACACAAAGCCTCGGAAAGGAAATTTCGTTGAAGGTGAGCGTGTTTTTAATGTTAATCACATTATAAAATTCGGAAATAACAAATCCGGAAGCTAGCCTTCAAATTCCGTCATGTTTACTGCCTACTTTTTACAAACTTCGGATTTAAAAAGTGATTCACGTTATATAATTGGTGAGGTGATTCTGGGTGATTTAAGCAATATCATATCAATGACTTGCACGTGCAAAGCCGATTTAAGAGAACGTTGCAAACACATTATTGCAACTTTGTTATATTGCAGCAGGTAGGTTCTTAACCTCAAAATACATATATCGTATCATTAGAATTGTGTTAAATCAATTACACAGGAATAAATAATTTCTCACTTTATAATTTTAGTATGATTTTAGTTTTAAATATTAAGGTTATGGCTGATGGTAAAAACTGAAATATAATCATGTGCATTAAAATGACGTGAACAAATTTTTATTCTTGAATTCACTTCTTTGATACCTACTGCTTTCATCCAAGCTTCTATCAGTTTACTTTTTTCTCTAATTTTCCGAATATATTTTTTACATATATAAAACGGTTAGTTTTTATTGGAAAGTAGTTAATGTAGGTGAAGAGTGAAGATCTATGTCTGAAGTGCTATTGCAGCTTTTCACTGAACATATGAACTTTTTATTTGATTTAACTTTAGAAGAAAACTTCGTCGACTCCATTATCAAAAAATTTTTTACTTTTTTAACGTGTTTTATTATTTTAATAAACAATTTTTGTGCACAGTTCCTATGTAAATTTTTCCCTCATTCGAGTTATAAATTTTGCCACCAGATGGTGTATGCCCATTTGACGGATCCCAATACGAATGCACGTAGTTTGTCGGGAGGTACAAATTGGATTAACGTACCTAGCTGTATTTATCGTATGCTAATATTATTCTTTTTTTTTTCAGATTTTCTTTACCTGAGAAAGAACGAACTGATACAGTCGCTGTATTTCTCGAAGTTCACTCATTTTACGCAGGATCTGGATAAATTTTACCGGGATATGACGGGAAATGAAACCATATGGAAGATAATAGAATATTCAAAAGTGGGATATAATTTCTTAAGAGAAAGGTACTTTGAATTGGTCCCTTTTAGCAAAGAATTGCAGAATGTTACAATAGAAATAGTCGATGAAGTGAAAGAACTGAGCAAATTGCCATCCATTAAGATGCTCTTGACGAAAGTGAACGATTTATCGAATCAGATAAAATGGTTTTGGGATTATTTTGATGTGGATAACAAAATTCGAGTATTTATCACGCAACTTCATATTAAGTTAACTGATATTACACAAACTGCTCTACAAGCAGAAAGCAAGTAAGCATAATGATTATATTCTTCAGACAAACCTGTTGTAGAGCTAATTCCTATCGATATTTTGTATATATTTTTTTGTGTTTTTAGATATAGAGAAGCCAAAACGTTGTTCGTATTTGAGCCCAAGGATGGAGTCATGTATTATGAACAAAAACTGCCAATTTCTTGGCACGCCTTCAACGAAGCTCCAAAATTTCATGTAAGTGCAAAATAAAATATTTATGTTATTGGAAACTAAAGACGAAAGTAACATTACTTGCTTTTCTTCTAGGAAATTCCAGAATACAAGATGCTGCATGAAATACGACAATATTTCATGGCATCCAGAATAACATTTTGGAGCTTTTATTATAATCTCCAACAGTATACCGATCCATCAAACTGGCTACCACCTTTCAAAGGTAAGTGAATCTAGCAAGCGCGAGAAACAGGATAGTCGAAAGAGAAGATGTCATTCTACATTCTATTAAGAAAAAAAAAACTATTATTAACAATAATTTTTCTCCGGTGAAGCGTATTGAAAGCGAATGAATATTAACTTGTTCAGGTAATTTCGTATTAACAATATTCTAATGTTTCGCTCTCCAATTGGTATTGTGTAATTATTTAAGTCGAATACATTACAGCCAATAAAAAATAAAATAAAATAATTCGAAGTTCTGTCGAAACTGCCAGACGCGGATCGCGATTTCAATCTTTTTGGATCTCATCAGCGTGGCGCAGGCAGCTCCGACAGAACACAGACCAACCTTTACCTGCTGTCTTAACAGCGCGTTTTAGAAAATACCACAAACGACGCGGTAAACGCCATCTGTAGTACGATGGTACATTTTAGGATTACGTATGCTCCAACAAGGTCCATTTAAATTTATGGATATCTACCTACTTGCTGAAACGAATCCCGGCGTAGCTAACCTCAACGTGATAGGCACGTTACCATAATCGAATAAAATAATTCGAAGTGGTCTGTATTCTGTCGAAACTGCCAGACGCGGATCGCGATTTCGATCTTTCTGGATCTCATCAGCGCGCCGCAGATAGCTCCGACAGACACTGTTGCCAACCTGCTACAGGAAAAAATCCCACGCACAGGTCCAAAAAATCCCATATTTTCTCTAAAAATCCCTCCAACTTATTACTATTATTATTTTTTAATTCGTTAATTTAATCGTTTATCCGAAGAAAAAATATGCAATATTTTTGTAAACATGGACAACTTTTCGTGTCGATAGTATAATACCGATAATTTTATTGTATGTAGTTATCTCGTTTCCCAAAAATGCAGACAAAACCAGGCCTTGGGGGTTTAGATGTTTAGATGTTCGGATTTTGGAACAATACACCAATTCAAACATTTATTTCTATTAGTTTTAACACCTGTTTCTGATCTGTTGACTGGTCACTTTCAAGATGTTTGCTGAAGACCATACAATGATACGAAAACAATATACAATTCAAAAAAGCAGGTACCTGCAGGCTGCACCAGTAGGCTTGAACGCACGTCGCCGTCGTATATCAACCGTTTCATCGTACAGCATTAAACGATTATAGCTGACAAAATTTTACGTTTACAATTAGAAAAATGAGCGCCTTCATAATATAATATGAGGTCAACAAAATCAAACAAAACCAACCAGAAAATGGCAAATTACAAAAAATCCCGCAAAAAAGGAAAAATCCCTTTATCCCTCGAGAACGTCAAAAATCCCTCGAATCGGGATAAATCCCTCGAATTGGCAACACTGCCGACAGAATGCAGATCAACCTTTACCTGCTGTCTTAATAGCGCGTTTTAGAAAATACCACAAATGACGCGGTAAACGCCATCTGTAGTACGATGCTACATTTTAGGATTACGTATGCTCCAACAAGGTCCGTTTAAATATATACTTGCTGAAACGAATCCCAACACCCAACCTTCCCCAATAGGAGGGCAAATTTTGAAATATTTTTAATTCAGAACCTAAACAACTTCAAATTGGTTTGTTTTAAATTAGGGGAATTAGGGGCTGAACAATAGTGTAAGGAATCTTTTAGGAATATAAAAATCCCATCTACTTGTCACTTGCAGGAATTTGCCAATACTAATGTAACCTTCACTCCTATCAACTATCCTAGCAAATATTCGCCTGACCTAATTTAACTATTTACAAACAATCATCTAATGTAAATCATAATCGGCCTATTCTGACTCCTATTTCTACTTCTAATTTGTCTCTAATTAGCCCTTCGTGTCCTAATTCTATCCTTTTCCCTCTGTTCTACACATTTCCAACCTGTGTTTTTAGCATCCGCCCTATAACTGTTTCTTTCCCACAGTAACCACTGTCATGCTGAAAACCTTGCGCTATTATTTGTTTTATTTTTCTATCCCTTTTTCGATTTTGAGTTATCTGGTTTCCCAGATATCAAAATTCACCGTCTTTACAGTTTGACTACGTATTACGTACTAATTCTTTATTAAAATTACTAACGAAGGTAAATTTTTAGCTCAAGCGATGTTAGCTGGGAGAAATCCATTTTTTATCACTTTCGATAGAGTTTTCTACAATTACAGTAGTTCATGCAGTCACCTTTTGGTCTCGGACTTTCTAGATCGTAATTTATCGTTGGTTATTTCGTACAAAGATGATATTAACATCATAGATCCATACGAAATAATGGTTATTTTGAATAAATCCGTAATACATATCAATATATTTAATAAGGTAAATGGTTTACATACATATGTGCTAACAAACATCACTATTATTTTCTTTTTTGCCTATGTACACAGGTCATTCGTTATGAAGATGATAAGTCATTACCAATCCCTGTACGTTTACCTTTTCAAGTGGAACATGCCGTTGTTTATTATGAATCCGATATAATAATTGTTGAAAGAGAAGCCGATTTTTCTCTAAGGTGCAACACGAAATTCTTTACGTGTATTTTCGAGATGTCGGGTAAATTTTCTTCATAAACAAGGTTTATAAATGCTTAATTGACGTTCAATGTTTAGGATGGTACTTTGGAAGAACCGCTGGACTTTGGGGTACCATCAATAACGAACCGTCCGACGATTTGCTTTCGTCACATGGTCAAAGAATGAAATTAATTAATGCCAGCGAAGCAGCACAAAGTTGGTCGTTAAATAAAAAATGCTCTTCAGGTGAAAAAGATGTAAAAATAAGTTCCAACATTCCCCAGCCGTCAGCAACCGAAGAAATAGCGACCATGTGTGAAATTCTATTCACTAGTAAAGTGTCTCCCTTTTCTCCATGTTTTTCAAGGGTTTCCATTGAGCCGTTTTGGAATATATGCTTGAAGAGCGAAACCGAACAGGATGCATGCACAGTAGCTATCGCATATATGAACCTCTGTGCTATAGAAAATACACCCCTAAGAGAACCCGAGATCTGTGTTAAGTAAGGATATAAACACTGGAACAATTATTAACAACAGCGATCCTTATGATTTTTTTTTTCTTTTTCAAGATGCGAACTCCAGAATGGAACTAGCATAAAAGAAGGTGATTTTGTTACATTCCAGCAGAAATCAACCAATCTTTCGGTTGACTTGGTATTCATTGTCGAAGTTAAAGAGTGCAACAAAAATATTAGAAACAACAGAAACATAGACGTCCTTGTCGAATTAATCGATAAAGAACTAAAAGAGAAGAACATAACAAACAATAGGTTACAAAAAGATGAATTATTATAAAAGTAAAAACTCAATAACAATTGGATTATTTAATTTTAGATACGCTCTTGTTCTGTTCGGTGGAGATCAAATTTATGAGAAACCACGTGCGGTGTTTTCAAATGGTAACGTTTTCACCAGCGCCAAAATGATTGTAAACTATTTCAACGAAATTCCTCAAGGTATGCTAATGACAAATAAAAACCTATCGTTATCAGTTTCACTATTTATTATTTTTTATGTTTCCAGAAAATGGAGTCCCAGATACTTTTGAGGCTTTGGCATTTTCAACAAAATTACTATTTAGACCAGGTGTATCGAAAACGTTCATCCTGATTCCTTGTTCTGATTATTTAGATTACAGCCTTAAGGTACGTATCAATATTTTCTTTCCTTTTCACGCAAATGGGCTGATATGAAACGCAAAAACGAAATCAAGTTGAATTTTTAAAAATTCCGTAACACAAAAACTACCACGTAATTACTATTCAATAAATAAGTTTTTCTTAACCTGTAGGATTTTTTAGTTAAAACTGATTTAAAAATTTCAACACACCTGATGTTGCACGAAGATCGCCTCCTGCTCTATAATTCAGCTTTGCACTACAGCGTAGGTCGGTGGAATAGTCCACCCTCCAGAATTATCCATTAGGAGTACATTATACTAAAGTTTTGACTAACTTTAGTTAGTCTGACAACACAACGTCTGCAATCGTTGTGGGCTTAAGAATTGTGTTATCCTTTGGGACCACTTCGAGTTCCCAAAGTTCATACTGTTTACAATGTGGCTACTAACATGTTTGAGCATCATATTAGCCACTACGTTATGATCATTCAAAAAATAAGTTTTTTTCAACCATTAGGATTCTTCAGTTAATACTGATTACGAAATTTTAACATTTGATGATGTATAAAGAACGCATGTCGCAATACCCTCTGGCTATGCGTTAGAATAGATTGTAGGCCTTTGAGACAGCCCACCATGTCTGTGACCGTTGTGGGCTTAATTACTGTACCATCAATTACGATCACTTCGAGCTCCCAACGTTCACTGTTTACAATGTGCTTGCTGACATATTTCTACGCCATATTATCTACCACGTTATGATCATTCAGAAAATAAGTTTTTCTGAACCTTTGGGGTTCTTCAGTTAATACTGATTACGAAATTTTAACACTTGATGATGTATAAAGAACGCATGTCGCCATACCCTCTGGCTATGCGCTAGAATAGATTGTAGGCCTTTGAGACAGCCCACCATGTCTGTGACCGTTGTGAGCTTAATTACTGTACCATCAATTACGATCACTTAGAGCTCTCAACGTTCTTTCTGTTTACAATGTGGTTACCGACATAGTTGAACGCCATATTATCTACCACGTTATGATCATTTAAAAAATAAGTTTTTCTAAACGTTTGGGGTTCTTCAATTCATACTGATTACGAAATTTCAACACTTGATGATGTTTGAAAAGTAGGTAAATGAGACAGCCTACCGCGTCTGTGATCATTGTGGGCTTAGTTATTGCGTCATCAAATACGATCACTTTAAACTTCCAAAGCCCATTTTGTTGTGATTACTGACATATTTGAGCATCATATTAGATACCACGTTATAATAATTCAAAAAATATGTTTTTCTTCGGTTCTTCAGTTAATATTGATTACGAAATTTCAACATGCTCGACATGTACACATAAATTGAAAGATTAATTATTTACTGCCTTTAATTTCAGTTTGATTACGGACTTATGAACCAAGTGCTGCTTGAAAATGACATTACCTTGCATATATTAATGGACGACGAATTTCAATTACGAAAGCCCCGTTACAACATATCAATTTTCGGTAACAATTTTCATTTCAAGTTTCTAGTTTTAATTTTCAATGTAATATTCATGGTATTATGAATTAAACATTATTCCTAGGTATCGACCGTACTTTATCTTATACCGAAAAAGGCGTCAAGAAGTTTAATGGAGATGCTGATTTAAGGAAGAAAATTAAAATGCCAAAGGCTACGTTGGGAATCTGTATGCCTTTGGCACTAGAGACTAATGGTAATAACGAAATGAAATTAAAGCGCTTTTCTATTCAATTTTTTTTCTCATTCGAAATATTACTTTGATAGGTTCTATATTTAGCGCGAAAAAACTGGAATCAAATCAAACGCAAGCGTCTAAAAGGTTTGCCAGAGTTTTTGCTAAAAGAGTAGCGCAAAGTGGCCATCCTGCCAAATGTCAAATCTGCGAATGTACAGCCACCAACACAGGGGTTTCTTATATGGAATGTTTCCCATGTGACATCCCCACTTATCCGACAATTAATAAAGACAGTGTAAGATTTGATATATTCCCGTCTTTTAAATATCTAATAAATAATTATTTTCTATTTTCAGAGTAGTAACGAGTTGGAATCGTCTACTCTGGGCGGTGGGATTTACAGTCCAGAAGATAGAAAATAAATACAGTATATATAGACAAAATAGTTCGTTAATTTTTGTTAGTTATAAAATGTTATTACATGTAAGCAACTGATATTATATGTATATCAGAAATATATATATATATTTATGTAATCAAAACTTCATAATTTTATTTTCCAAATATTTCAATAAGAGTCATAAGGTCGTCAGTCTTAAAACTAGTTGGACACGTACCTCATGCAACCTTTTCCTATCCTGAACATTTTTAAGTATATTTAACATCTTGTCCCATTTAACATTGCTAAAAACTTTTTCTAAATCTACTAATCCAAATATGTACGCGCTCTTTCCTTTTTCTACCGTTTTCTCGGTTGTTATCCGTAAAGCCAAATTGGTCTTCCCGTAACAGTTCTTCCGCCCTTTTTTCCACCCTTCTCTGTACGATTCTAGTTAAGATTTATGACGCATAGGAAGTTAGGCTAGTTGTTATAAATGTCTTGCATCTATCTGCGCCTCTTTTTTTTAGAGACGGCTACTATCACGTTCGGTTTATAGTCCTCCGGGACTTTCCCCATCCCGTATATATAATTAACTAACCTAAACATACGATCTCTAACCTCTTGTTCTTCCAATTTTCCTTACTTATCAAAGCCGTACAATAAAATCAGATCAAAGATATCAAACAATATATAAATACTTCGTCTGTGTTGTCTTTTCCTTTCATAACACTATAATCTTAACCTATTAGCCGCTTTTTTGCTGTTTTGCATAATATATTGCAAACTGATATTTAGTTCTTCTTCTGAAGATAGCATTGTAAGTCGAAATTACAATAAATTACATGAAACTGTTGTTCATCAAATATTAGCACGATAGTAGAAATTTTTGCAAGAATATGATAGAATTATTTATTTATTAAAGGATTATTCAGTAAAAGAGATAATTATATATTAAAAAACGTCTGGCGCTCTAATAAATTTTAAATAAAGCTTTTAATAATTAATTCCGGCTTAGTGAATTGCAAAGTCGCCTCCTAATCTAACTGTTAAAAGAAAATATTAAAGAACAAAAAGAAAATAGAACAAGTTGGTGGATGCGCGGCGCAAATTTCATTGAAGCGCAAGCTTAAACGATCGCAAGAAGGGCATATGATCAGGGGTAGAAAGTACCTCAGGCTGTGCAATTTACTATCTTTTGTGAAATCGGTAAGCCTGTTTGGTAGGGGTCGAACAATATTATTTGTAAATGAATTGTTTATCAGTGACAGTATTATTTTCTTCGTGTAAAGTGCGACTGTTATTTATAAAATATTAGATTTTACTCACCCTCTGTTAGGTTATAATGTGGTGGTGCTTGGATATGGTTGTAGCTTCGATAATATTTTCGACATCTTCAGCAAACATTTTCCTTTCAAACATTGGTAAGAATTCCTACTTAAATTTTTCTTACGACCACTTTCACTTAGCACAACACTACACTAAACTGAAACAAAAAAAAATCACGAATAAAGTAAATATCTTTACATCAACAAAAAACTGACTAATTGTTTATCATTAAAAACAATAAAAATTGTAGCGTAAACAAATTATGTACTCTTATTGTTAGTTCAAAAACTAACTATTATTAAAGTAAAAAAATAATTTACTATTTGCATGTACGATGTTGTTAACAGATGGATAATATAAAAAAAAGGACTTTCCAAAATCCTTATTCACACCTTTAAGAAAATTAAATTAACTCTGTTCCTTCTTCATTAAAATTCCTTTCTATTCAAGAAAACTTTTTGCTGTTCTTGCATTGCGAAGAATTCTCACTCTTAAATTTATCAAGTTTTTCATTAAATGTTTAATTGCATTAATTTTTAATATTACACATAAAAGGAAATCCATGACTACATTTGCAATCGTAAATAAATTTCAGTTACTTAAGTACATGATGTCAAATGTTAATTATGTTATGCTATAGCTTCACGCGCCTTATACACGTTTGATCAAACTTTCTCAATGAATTTCCACATGATGCTAAGTTGCTAAGGAAAATGATTTTAATTAAGAATTATTAAATAGAAATAATCCAAAAAATATTATTTAACGACTACAGAAGCCTTTTTTCAACGTTTAAAAAAAAATTGTAAGCTATCACAAATACACAAGAATAGCAATTATTGAAAAAATTTTATTAAAACTTTTGGTAAAGACGCCAAGACAACTTAAAACAAAAGCTATAATTCTCGACTCACTGAAGTAGACTGATGAATTTTCACCTTTAAATTATATTCTTTCCATGACGACCCAGTAAGGGTCAATTCATTTTACAATTAAGCTACAATTTATAATTATAATATATAAACAGTAACCTATTTCAATTCTAATAATATCCACAAAGAAAATTAGAAAATTTTTTTTGTTAGAAAAGTAACATCTTATCTTTTTTTATTTGGAGCTGTTTGAAAGGTATTTAGTTACTAATTACAAGGGTTTAGTTAATTTTTATTGTAAATTCTCGTATTAATGCCGAAATTAAAACGATTATGAAGATACAGAAACATTATCGGCAGTTATAAAAAAATGTTGTGAAACCTGATCGCCTTTTTTACTGTTTTCCATAATATACCTAATAATGAAAATACTAGTTCCGCTTAAAAACTCCAACGGCTGATTTTTCCGAAGAAAATTAATAGAAATTCAAATTAGCCAATTTATAAAGTAAAACATGCACTGAAATATCGACTCATTTTCATGAAAAATTTCGGGTTAGAGAAATGGACAAATTCGATTTGAAGGGTTAATTTGGAAAAATGTAAAACAATACGTATGTATGTGAAGGGTGAAAAGAACACATTCGAGACTTTCAAATTATAAACATTTGAATTACAGAAGTTCGACTGTAAATCTAGTACCTATTAAATTATTATTAAACTATTTATTTCATCATCATAAGGTCGTCAGTCCTAAGACTGGTTGGACACGCACCTCGACTCTTTTCCTATCAGCTAATCTTCGCATTTCCCTAAAACGAGAACAAACCGCATCCTTAACTATTTGCGAACAATAATCCAATCTAGGTCTACCTCTACCCCTCCTAACTCCCGCTTCTGCCTCTAATATTTCTCTAACTGGACCTTCATGCACGAGAAGGTGTCCTACCAACCTATCTCACCTATTTCTTAGAGTTCTCTGTTCACCAATTCTTTCTAATACCTCTTCATTTCTAACCTTCTCTATCCACAGTATCCTCATCATTCCCCTGTAACACCATTTTTCGAACGGTTCTAATCTTTTCTTTTGCGCTGCGCCCACTGACCATGTTTCGCACCCGTGCAGCGCCGCGCTCCAAACATACACCTTTAACAACCTTTTTCGAATTTCTAAATTAACCGTTTGCGAACATAGAAGTGGCTTCTGTTTATTGATGGCGACCCTGCGCTATCCTCTGCTTTATATTCCTTTCGTCCTGACTTATGACTTCCTAGATACCTAAAATCAGCCACTTCTTCTAATTTTTCGTTTCCTATCTTTATATTCGCTCTTTCCCTACTTTTTCTTCCCTTGCATACCAGTATTTTTGTTTTACTTTTATTTATTTTCATACAATACTGTTTTACCAGTATCGTATCTATTTTATTTAAAGCTATCTCTAACTCCTCCTTGCTAGATGCTAATACTGCAATATCATATACAAATCTAAGCATACTAATACGTATTTTGCCCCTGTATATCTATCACTACAGTTGTACTGTCTTTAATGATGTTGATCGCATCTTCGATGTATATATTAAAAAGTAGCAGTGACAGTGTGCATCCCTGTCTGACTCCCTTCCTAATATTTACTTCTCTACGTTGCAACCCCAGCTCTATAACTGTTTGTTGCTCTCTATACAAACTAAGTATCACTCTCCTATCTTTGTAACATATCCCTACATTTTTAAGTATATTTAACATCTTGTCCCGTTTAAAATTGTCAAAAGGTTTTTCTAAATCTACAAATCCAATGTACGCACTCTTTCTTTTCTTTGTCGTTTTCTCAATTCTATTTCTTCTAAATCCATATTGATCTTACCGTAATAGTTCTTCCGCCCTTTTCTCCTTCCTCCTCTGTAAAATTCTAGTTAAGATTTTTGACGCATGGGAAGTTAAGCTAATTGTAACTATTCTATCGCTTTTTTGTAAATAACTTTCTACACTTTTCACAATTCCTACCCCCGAATTACCTTCCACCGATCCTGTTTGTGTAAATTAATTTGATTGAAACTTAATATTGACAAAACATGTAGGTACCACTTTATGATCATATAAACGTAGGAACATTTCCAACTTATTCTACATCTTTTAAAGTTTCCTGTATGTAATAATTAATTATTCCTTTTAGATTTAACGGATGTGCCGATTGAAAGTTATGTAGTTCAAGCAGGCGACAACACAAGTTTTCCATGTACAGGAACAACAGAATATTCACTTGTTACGGAACTTGAATGGCGCTTTTTTACCAAGACACAAAACATTAAGATAATTGAATACGCTAAGGGTAACACAATCGTAGCTTATAAGCAACACAGAATATCGTTACAATCAAAGACCCATGCCCTTAATTTTAAACCAATAATTGCCCAAGATACTGGAAATTATATATGTTTAGTTAACAACCGACCAAGACCGGATGGTGTCCTTCAACTTATTGTACAAGGTTATTTAATTATGTTCCCTTTAATTAATCAATAACTAAACCTTATTTCTTATTGCTAAAGTATTCTAATGTTATGCATTTTTTTATGTACAGACAGGCCAGATCCTCCTGGTAGGCCCTTAGTGATGGGTTTTACATCACGATATGTAAATTTATCCTGGGCAGCGCCATCAGATGTGCACTTCAGTAATGTTCTCTACTATGTCATTCTTATTAGGTAAATACTAATAAAATAACATTTCCACAAAAAAAACAATAAGGGTAAAACAACGCGAGGTAAATGGAAACAATTAACATAACTCAAACCAAAAGGGCAGAGAATGCCACAGAATTAAAATATAAACTTTACTACAACAACTATTAATTCATTACCTAAAATCCTCTTGGTGAATTACAAACTCTCCGGGGGGTTAATAGAAGCAATATGGAGTTACCTAACTAACACATCTATTTTTTATATGTTTATATAGGTACTAGTTACGCGTATGATCGAAATTTGTTTTTAAGTCAAATAATATCGAAAACGTTCGCAAATTATTACAATCGGAACTATTGTTTGGATCCATCGATTTGGAACTCGAAATTTCCAGCTGTAATTCTAAATTGCAACTTGTAACTTTGAGATCTTCACTAAATCACAATATAACCTAACTTAACCCAATCCCAAATTAACTTCAAGCAAGTTCGGTCGTATTTTCTTTACCAACCGTAACCTCATGATTGTAACCTAATCGAAGATAATGTTTTTATTTGATTGGTTACGATCGTAAGACTATTGTAGGTAGTACAGCAAACGAAGTGAGTGTTATCATAGCCGTGCACTTTCTTTGGTTTACACCCAATCCTAACCTAACCTAAGCCAACTGAAACGCAGAAAGCATTTATCACAACACTGGTGGAACTGAATACACTACGTTGAAAATACATTTTAACTCGGAATTTCCAGTTGAAAGTCGAAATTTCGAGATACAAATTGAAATTTCAGAAAAAAAAAATTTTTGGCTTTTCCACCTCTTCGTGTATAAGTTTTATTCTTATCCTATTATAACAATTACCAAAGAAAAGTATCAGAAATTTTAATGGCTTCAACATTCACGTACGAATGGTTATTTTTTAATCTAAACAAACCGTAGTTGAAAAAATTAAAAACACGTTTTTTTCAATTAAATTTTTTCAGCTAATTACGAAAATCTGCAATCACCTTCTTAATTCGTTCCCAATTCTCCGGTACATTCAATTGAAAAACGAATGAATGACCACTGACTCCAAAAAATCAAAAATTAATGCCTAACATGCGTGATTAATTTACGATTATTTGAAATTAAGTTTACGATAATTTAGGGTAGTTTTCGATGAATTTTTCATTTTCTTATAGAGTTGGGGAGAAAGGTGAATGGAATGATAACGGCAATATTACCCCCGATAATAGAACAAATTACAAAATGACGGGTTTAAAGCCGTATAGTGTGTACAGTTTCAAAGTAATTGCAGTAAATGAAATGGGTAGAAGTGACCCTAGCCAAGAATCCTATTATATTATCACCCTCCGAGAAAGTAAGCCAACATTTAATCAATTCTGTTTGTGATCCAGAAAAAAAAATCATAAAACTACAGTAGCCATCTTGCAGTCCCTTCGGGAAATCCCACAATCATAACAGCGCATAATACCTCGTCTTCTGCAATTCATGTGAGTTGGAGGCCCCCCGATTTGGATACAATTAATGGAGAATTTATGGGGTATCGCATAACATACAAGCAACGAAAAAAAGAACATAACGCTTCGGAAATTTATATACGCGATCCGGATGTAAAGGTATTATATTCTATAATACGTATATTTATATTGAAATAAATTAATTTAATTAACTTTATTTCAGAGCCACGTTATTGAAAACCTCGAAACATACACGCAATATTTGGTTTCTGTAGCAGTTTTCAACCCTGAAGGGTTTGGACCAGCATCTACAGTACTTGTGATGACAGACGAGGGTGGTGAGTATTGTTTTAAAAGCATATTTATTTCGCTTACCTTTTATCTGCTGTAGATATTTTGCTATTTAATAATTAATTATTCATATAAATTAATTAATTAA